GTGGGCTTCTTTCCGTTTGGCAACTTAGGCCGCTGCTGCCGGTGCGGGCGTCGACGCCAGCTGAGGCAGCGCTGCCGTACCGGCCGAGGGCGTTCGATTGGCGTGGGCGTGGCAGGGCGAGAATCCGACCAGCTTGGACTGCTCCTTCTGATCCTGCTGCTGGTGCTTTTCTAACTTCTCCTGTGGTTGCTGCTGCTGCTGCTGACAAAAGCGATGCGAAAGTGACGACGGCGAAAGTGACGGCGACGAAGGCTGCATTTTCATCCATTGGTCAGGTGGCGGCTAACCTATCCGGACATTTGCTTGCCGGGTTCGGTGTAATTCCTCGATTTGACTTTAATAATCGTTACTAGTTTCTATATACATATTGGCTATGTATCATTTTGGTTTAGATATATGCATCTTTGGTTTGGTTAAGCGTTTTCGGTTATAACTTTCTTTGGTGGTGAGTTTTTACTGTTAATTATTTACAATATCTGGCGCTGCACTAAACAAAAAATGGATAATTGGTATTTATAAATTTTCATCATTTGTGTGTGCCATTTTGGATATATTTATTATTTGTATTTTGGATATAGCACTGGACACAGGCGCAAACACACACGTAGGCACACTTCACTCGGCGGGCGGTCTTCACTTTACTACTACCAAAAACGAACGGCCGCAGCAGCAGCAGCTCGGAAAATGTTTTTCTTCGACTTCGCTCTTTCCTTGCCTTTCCACTTTCCGTTTTCCTGCGCTGATACGTGGTCGCCGCACCCCCCAACAAAAAAAAAACAGCACAGCCAAAAAAAAAGGAAAATGTTTCCCGATAATAAAATCCACAAGAGCGGGAGTTTCCACAGGGAAAAGCGAGTGAAAGAAAGAGAGGGAACAGGCTGCGCGAGAGAGAAAGCACGCGTCAGGCGTGGTGAGTTGGCTAAAAAAGTTCCCAGTATTCTTGGAGCACCAGCACCATAAAAAAGTAGTAGACATCAATATAATAATAGAAGTGGCAAAAATATGATATCAACAGCGTGTACTGCTGGGAGAAAGAAAGAGAGGAGGCGACAGAGAGAAAGCCCGAACTGCATTGCTTAATTTTTCCCAGCGCTATTCATTTAATTTCCATAGCCGCGGCGCCCTTAAGTATGCAACATGTTCTGTGATGAACCAATTACCACCGCCATCCACTTTATCAGCCCCCATCACCAAACCGCCCACTGCGAGAGGAGATGGCCAAGGACAATCCAGTCAAATATTATATCATACAGGTCCTAATAATAGACGGAAACAAAGGTAACGACACTTGAAGTTTTCAACTTGATGACAATAAACGATAGCTAACGGAAAGCACACAAATCCACAGTGTGTGTATGCGAACAGTTAGGGTCGGCATAATAGCCCTTGAGAGTAAGAATCTTTTCCTTAATAATGTGTGTAACATTTTTCTGAATTTGTTGAGTAAATTAAACCTTTAATTTCTGTTATTAGCGGACGGATATTTTAAAAAAACTACTAAAAGATATACAAGTTTTTAAGAACTAAAGGAAATATTTGAAAACAAATAGAAAGATTGGAATAAGGCTGTAATTATATTTTTCTTTTGCATTTAAGGTTTGTGGTTGTGAACTCTTAACGTAAATTTGTTCACAACTGAAATATGCCATAAAGGATAAAAAAATTATGATGGATCATTTTATCCCTGAAAACGAAATACCCGAGATATAAAATTGAACACAGAAGAAACATAGTATAATTAGCCCTTTTACTTTAGCTAAGTGAAAACTTGTGCAAAGTGTTTTGAACTTGGACCTGGCAGTACTATTATTCGGGACGCAACTGTGAGTGTGGAGCCAGCCTGACGACGTGGAATGTCCAGGACCCGTTTCCCGTGTCCATATATATATATATATATCCTGGCCACCAGGCGATGTCCTGGCGTCATGCGCACTTCCCAATCCACCACACAGCCGCTCGAACTCAACTCCACCACGGTGAAGCGGTTTAACGAAAGTCGCCAAGTTTAAGGATAAATCACAACGAGCAATATTTTTGCAACAAATGCGATGAACGGGAGGAGAGGGGTGGGAGTGATGGAAAACTTTGCGGCTTTGCTTTTATTCGGGAAATTATTGTTTTGTTTTGGGCTGAGGAAAAAAATTCTGAAAATTATGGATGCTAATGGGGGGCCCAAAAAAGCGAGATATATAGATTTCAGAGGCTGTGTACACACACACTCTACAACTGTAGACACGGCGGCCGTACTTCGCACCCACTGGGGCCGTGGTGGCGCCCACCCCGACCTCGCCGCCCACCGCTCCCCTGGACTTGCCGCCCACTTTCCCACCCAGTGCTGCGCGCTTCGCTCTTTTCGGGCCGCATGAGCAAATCGCAATAGATAGAGAATTTTTTTCTTTCTTTCTTTTGCTGGCGCGGCTTGATTCCTTGCCACCATAAATGATACATATAGGTATATCATATATTATGTACAAATGTATCTGGTTGGTTAGTGAGCGAGTGGCCTTGTCTTTTTTTCATTGTTAATCACTCAAAGGAGTTAATTTCGTTTTGGAGACCGTTTTGGCAGGGAAAGTCAGGCCTGGAAAATTCAGCACTTGGCACATATGACAACGTAATTTTCACACACACACTCGCGATTTTGGAGAGAGAAATTTTATGTACCATACATTTTTGAAGCTGCAAAACTTTGCACAGTCGATTTTCACACTGCTGCTGCCGCTGATTCTACTTTTTCATTAGATTTCCCCGCACTTCAAACTTTTCCATCTCCGGATGGAAAATTATTCACCGCACAAGGAGAGTTTAACCGAGTTCGCGAGTTTCGCGAGCTTTTAACGTGTTTTTTTGTGCACTTTCTTGCACACTTTCGCCGCCTGCTGCGTATGTGTGAAAATTTTCCTGTGTGCTGGGCTGTGGAATTGGAAATCTAGTGAAAATCCGCAACCGTTACGTACGGAAGAGCACACCTAGCTGCTGTGTGTGCTCCGCTGAAGACGATGGCGCTCTGCGGACGGGTCCGCAACTTTCTCGCAGCGCAGCGCCTTTATCGCTGCTCCGCCTGGCGCTCACGCTCCGTCCTGCTCCCACTCGACGGGGGGCCACTCGCTCCGTCTCGCTCGGCAGTGTGGTGGGTTCGAGTTCCTGTGTGCGTAAGAGCCCAACAACAAACAGGGGGAAATTTTGGGGAGCTCCCATTAGCCAGAGAGCGCGAGAGAGCAGGATGCCAGCGCTTGTGCCGTCGCTCTCTCTCTCTTTTTCTCTCTAAATTTCTGGCTCTCTCGCCCGCCCCCAAATAAAAATGAAATCAACAATTTGTTGGTCGAAGAGCTGCCAACTTAGCCTCTAATAAATGTGGCCAAAACGCTGGGGGACGAAAATAGTACAAAAGAAACACCGTTATTGTAGTCAAACAAAATAAAAAATATTTATTGCTTTAGTTTTTGCTGAATATACATCATTTATTGGTCCCTAATAATATTAAATTAGTATTAAAAACTTACCCAGAATGTGTGCTTTAAAAGTTTGATGGATTGCCAAACGGTCTGCATGATCCTCTCAAAACATTATAATAATTTGCACCACTTAATCTTAATAAACTAACCAATTTCATAGCATGGCATAGAAAAACGATGGTCTCTTTTAATAATAATAAAATAATAAATAATAATAATAAATAATAATAATTAATAATAATTAAATAATACCGTTTTCTAGAATCACAGTTTTAATTTTTTTTTTTTTTTTTTTTAGTTTGTTGAACACGTTACACAAGGATGGACCTTGTTTTCGTGTATTGACGAATTATTTCTAAAGATCCCAAAAAAAACGTGTGCTCCATTCTTGAGCAAATCAGGTGTGGTTATAGCCGGTCAAAAGTTAATCAAGATGTGTTATTACAATAGACGACCGTGTCTGTCACGGCCGAGTTTTAATTTGAGCTGTGATAAATTGAAAGCTTTTTAAACTTTTCAGTTTTAATTTAAAAAAATGGTATGAAATGTTTCTGAAAGTTACTTTCCCAATTTTAAAGGTTAAGGATTGAAATTTGTCGATATTTCAATTCCAACAAAAAACACTGGACTGAAAACAGCTGAAGTTCACAAACGTTCACACTCAATACGATTTTTATTTTTGTAGCAAAGAATGTATAAAGTAAACAGAGCTTTGATTGGTTACTTTGGATACAGCAATTTTATATATTCATAGGGCTTTAACTTACAACTATAGAGTTGAGCACACCGTCGATTAATCGCTTCGCTTTACTTTGCTTATCTCTAAGTTAATCTTTACAAGTATGAATGTGTATGAGCAACCGATATTGCTGCTTTTGTAGAGTAAAATGTGTTGCAAATTGTATTTGCCAAGCGAAATTAGGAGTAAGTTTAACAGCACTTTTATACACAATGTTTTATGCTGACACAGGATGGTTAAATAATAATAGAACCGATATACTTTTGGGTTACGTTGAATACAGATACACGCATACATTTAAGGCGACTTTAAATGGGATTGATATATATACGTTTTTTCTTGGGTTTCTTTGTCATAGAGCCAACTTAGCCCAGGCCATGATCGTCGAAGAAACTCTGCGGGGTCTCGTCCTGGAATGGGAGAATGCTTAGCTTCAGTTACGTAATCTAAACTTAACATCGCTCGAGATTAAAGGCAACCAAATAAAGCTTCTATACTGGGGGATACCCCTCATAAATAGGCTATGGAAAAAGGGTGGAAGAAGTAATATCAACTAAAAACAACAAAAAGACACCAATTGGGTGCACTAATTCAGACAGAAAGGGAGATAGACAGTTTGGGGAGAGTGGAGTTCAGAGATCAGATCAGTGAAGAGTAGATCAAAGCGGGCGTCAAAAGGTCAGAACAGTCAAATGGGTCAGTCACAACAGCAAAGACAACAATCAAAAGTAAAAGTAAACAATTACAAAAAAAAATGAGGATCACCAGTTCTTACCATTATCATATAGCATACGAGTACATTTAGCTTTTTTTTTTTGGAAAAATACTTGATTTTTATTATAACTTTTTTTTTTAATTACAAGACACAGAAAATTTGGCTAAAACGTACAACACACATACATAAACATATATATTTGTAGATATACATAAACTAGACTTTATTCGGTTACCACTAAGGGATGATTATTACAATTTTTAATTATATGTCGTTCTCATTTTTTCAACATTAAAGCTTACTTGTTTCTATTGTAAGAATAGTATTGCATATATTTCCCCACTAAATTAGTTATTGCCCATTTGGTGATTGATTGGAATGATCTTTCGATTATATAATGTAGATAGGAAGAAGCATATTAATTCAGTTGAGAAAACCCCAGATGGAACTACGTAAGGTTGGCTTGTTTTGCATGAACTTAGCTGTACCTATTATATATGTGTTTGTGTTTGCGAGAGAGGGTGTATGGAAAACCGCATGCCAAATACTCTGATGTTACTATCTATTATTTAGCTTTGTGGGTTTTTATTGCTTTTTGGAGCCTCACGCTGCTTGGCTTCTTCTTTGATTTGTTTTTTTCAGCGCTTCAGTGCTGTACAACAGCCAGAACACATTAGTGTTGAGAAGTGGATGGAGCAGTGTTGGAAAGTGCCAAGTGCAGCACACAATATCGCTGGGGTGTATCTGTGTGTTATTGTGTGCTCGTTGTGTCTGGGTGTGCGTGTAATATCAACTACATAAGTTCTAGGGTGTTCTAGTTCTTTAGAGGAGTCCAATGTCTCTTAAAGTGCCCTCAACGGCTTCGTCCTGGAGTACAGAAAATAAGAACAATAAGAACGAGAAGAGTAGAAGGAAAGAAAGTAGTAGTAGTGGTAGTACGAGTAGCAAGTGTAAGTGTGAGTAGAATGTGTCCAAAAAAGAAACCAATTTCAATTTGGTTTTGCTTTTCTTTCGTTGACGGCACAACTTGGAAACACGAAATGCATATTATATGGATGAACATCACAGCGCAGCGCGGGGAAGGCGGGGGAATTGAAGCTGGGCAATATACACATATGTACAGCTGGGCGAAGGTTTGACTGATCTGACCTATCGACACTCCACTAAAACTCTTCGCAGTTCGGGAATATAACTTTATGTTCTTTACACAGGTTCTTTGGGTTAGGTTTTCTTTTCTTCTATGTTTATTTTTTTATCGATTAGTTGAGATACTCATTGAAGTCCTGAGGTTGTTGTTGGTGGTTGGTGGTGGTAGTAGTTGTGTTAACATCGATTTATGCAGTGGCGGGTAGGGTAAGCGTTAATAATAACAAGAGAGAGGGTACATGGGTTACACATTTATATATGGTATATGGTATGGCAAGAATATGTATAGTTTAACATCGGTTCTAGTTAGTAATTCAGCTACAAAGGTCATGCAAAATAATCAAGCCAACTAAGATAGAGGTCTTACTACGAATCGGGTTAGGAGACTTAAGGAGTTACGGTCACAAAATAAACGCAAGCAAAAATTGTACTACAAATGGCAAACAAAGGTTTTAGATTTACTGCACAGCAACATCTATGGCAAGTTCAATACTGTGGCGATCAAATAATTCCTGGTAAGTTCTCACAATTCACAATTCGCTTTCGAGTAGGCAAGTTTCGAAACACAAGACGGCATGCAGCGACAAATAAACATATCGATTCGGTGCGTGTGTGTCAGGTAAGGTGGATTACATCAGATTCGGAACTTAAAGTTAATGACAATGTTGCTGCCAAAACACACACGCACACTTCTCTTAGGATCTATTGCAGCGAGTAAAAGAACTCTTCTTGCTTCGAGTGGTTAGAGGTGTTCAGTATAGTACGAGTAGTATAGTAATTAGTTTCGATTGCAAAAATAAGAGAAACAAGAACGAGAAGTAGGTAAGAGTAGAGTATAAAGAGAAAACCGTGATATGTATGAGGTATGTATGACATTGTAAACGTTATAGATAGGCATATAAATATAGATGCAAACAAACACTAACGAGGTAACGAAACTAAAAACCAGTAAGTTGAATAAATATGTAAAACAATTAACAATATCCGGCATAGGTAGAGTGACACAACCGTTTTAGGCATTACAGATCATATGTCTCGGGTGTACTGACCTCTTGGAGCAGATCCTGCGAGGCGATCGCCTTAAGTACGTTCTTTTTGGACGTTTCCTGGATCTCGCCGCCTATTAGCAGCTCGTCCAGGATAAAGTATGCTTTCTCAAAGTTGAAGATAATATCGAGCTCGCAGACCTGTTTAGAGAATGGGAGATAAACAACTTTTTAGAGTCGTTTGTGGCAATGTGCTGATAATAACTTACGCTTCCAAAGTACTTATCCAAGAGCTCCACATAACGATGAATGATCTCCAATGTCAGCAACTCGTTGTCGTTCTGCTCGATGGCGCAACAGAAATACAAGCTGGCATACCTTTAAAGTACAATGGTACAATAAAAAATATAGTTATAATTCCTTTAATTGAATAACTACATAAAAGGTTTTACATAATTATTAATAAATAAATACAAAATATAAACTTTAAGGAACATTTTCTCTTTGTAGATTTTGAGGCATACATATCTTATCAGTTATCATTTTACAAGGCTTTCTTAACTAAATTCTTTAAATAATAAAATACGAACAACCTACCTCTTATAGACAATTTTGCAGTCCTTCCACTCCAGAAATGAGCACATCTTGGGTTTCCGTGCCAGTATCGTGGTGACCAGTTCCCGGGTAATCTTCTTTTTCACCTTGTCCGGATAGGCCATGTACCACTTCTGTAACCGCAGTTTGCCCTGCCGACTGAACAGCAGCATGAAAAGCATCTAGAATTGAATAGCACAATTGTTACTATAGAACCTCTATTGATTTTTGTGTTTTCACAAATCATTAAGTTTTCATATCTTTTTAGGCCAGCGAAGCTCCCACTGACACAGTCATCTGTCACACACACCAACGCACCCACATTTTCACCTAGAGCCACCGCATCGTCAACATCAAAATCGTACCCTTACCGATTACCAAAGAAATCACTGTTTAACTTTTATTTCCTTATGCCTCACCATTAATATTGCTTTTCCTCCTTGTGATTGAGTATTTCCGTGTGCTGGGTGCTTAAAATATATAGGAAAAACTATTTTTCACGCAGCACATAGAAAATTATTGTTCATTCACAGCTGCTATTCGCAGTGCAACGTTTGTAAGCGTTTGTAAGCGAATAGCAAATACAGGGTGACTATAACAATTAGAGCTTCAGTCAACATTGTGTAGGAATTTAACTAAACTTTTAACTCTTGTAAACAATATGCTCTTTTAATACTTTAAGAACTTTTTATAAAACTATTATAATATATTTATATAAACTAGTTCGTTTGTAAGCAAATCGGAAAACAAATGTTTGCGTATATAGAAACAACATCATTCTAATTTTGGAAAGGAATAGTAAAGCAATGACTTTAAAGATATTAAAAATGAAATACAAACATATTATTAAGCTTTATGAATTCGTATGACGGGGCTGCACTGTATTCTTTAACGCGCGATATTAGCCATTCACAGTAAATTATCGCAAGGCAACTGCAGCTCTTTTGGGCCATCCCTATTTGACTGTGTAGACGTTAGCAGCAGCTGGCCGTACTCGTGCCGTTTAATAAGCCGAGAAATTTCGTCATTTCCATTTAGAAAACAAGCGAACAACCAGCGACGATGACAATAAAGCTCAAAGCAAACCTCAACAATCCGCCGATAAGTAAGTGCCCAAAGGATGCCGGCTGCAATGACCTTCCCCGCCCGGAAGATGTGCAGTTAGTGAGGTTATATCTGGATCAGGGTCTATTTATGTACACAATATACACATCCGATCCCTCTTTTATTGCATCAGTTTCGTATCGTGTGATATTAATTGACTCATTCGCTTAGGTGGCCTGGCGACGGCGCACCTAATCAATGGCACGGTGCCCGTGGAGATTGTGTGGAGCAAGGAGGAGACCTCGCTGCAGTTTCCCGATAACCGCCTGCTGGTGTGCCACTCCAACAACGATGTGCTCCGTGCCCTGGCCCGCGCGGCTCCGGATTACAAGCTGTACGGAGAGACGGCCATCGAACGGACACAGATCGACCACTGGCTGTCCTTTTCGCTGACCTGCGAGGACGACATCTCATGGGCGCTGTCCTTCCTGGACAAGTCCATTGCCCCTGTGACGTATCTGGTGGCCAACAAGCTGACCATTGCCGACTTTGCGCTGTTTAACGAGATGCATTCGCGCTATGAGTTCCTCGCCGCTAAGGGCATTCCGCAGCATGTGCAGCGTTGGTATGATCTCATCACTGCCCAGCCGCTGATCCAGAAGGTCCTGCAATCTCTGCCAGAAGGAGCGAGGGTCAAGAGGAGCCCGCAGGCCTCCAAGGAGCAGACGCCCGCCAAAACGGGCGAGCGCAAGCAGGAGGGCAAGTTCGTGGACTTGCCAGGGGCCGAGATGGGCAAGGTGGTGGTTCGTTTTCCGCCAGAGGCCTCCGGCTACCTGCACATCGGCCATGCCAAGGCGGCGCTGCTGAATCAGTACTACGCCTTGGCCTTCCAAGGCACGCTTATAATGCGATTTGATGACACGAATCCGGCCAAGGAGACCGTTGAGTTTGAGAACGTCATTCTCGGCGATCTGGAGCAGCTGCAGATCAAGCCGGACCTGTTTACGCACACCTCAAACTACTTTGACCTGATGCTGGACTACTGCGTCCAGCTGATCAAGGAGAGCAAGGCTTACGTGGACGACACGCCGCCGGAGCAGATGAAGCTGGAGCGCGAACAGCGCGTGGAGTCGGCCAATCGCTCTAACTGTAAGTTCTTCCTTAATTTTGATTTAGGTAAACTACACTATTTATCAATTCATGATGAACAATTATTTATTAGTTTTAGAAAGAAATTCCATTTAGTAATTCGTCAGCTGAAAGATGTGAACATTTCGTCATTAAAAAGGATTTATTCTATAGTAATCAAAGAAATAAATGATGAAATTCATAGAAATTTTTTTTATGTACAAGCCTTAAGTACTTGATTTCAAAAAAAAATTAATTTCACCACATGCAACAATTCTTTCATTTTTATTTTTATTAATCCTCGTTTTTATTTGCAGCCGTCGAGAAGAATCTTTCCCTATGGCAGGAGATGGTTAAGGGCTCTGAGAAGGGTCAAAAGTACTGCGTGCGCGCCAAGATCGACATGACCTCGGCCAACGGTTGTATGCGCGATCCCACCATCTATCGCTGCAAGAACGAGCCACACCCTCGCACAGGAACCAAATACAAGTAGGTTTTCCTTAAAACTTAATTGGAACCAAGTATTTAATGCTTAACCTTTACAGAGTCTATCCTACTTACGACTTTGCCTGTCCCATTGTGGACGCCATCGAGAATGTGACACACACCCTGCGCACCACTGAGTACCATGATCGTGATGATCAGTTCTACTGGTTTATTGATGCTCTGAAGTTAAGAAAGCCGTACATCTGGGAATACAGTCGGTTAAACATGACCAACACTGTTCTTTCCAAGAGAAAGCTTACCTGGTTTGTGGACTCAGGGCTAGTTGATGGCTGGGATGATCCTCGTTTCCCAACAGTGCGTGGAATTATACGTCGCGGCATGACCGTGGAGGGTCTGAAGGAGTTCATCATCGCTCAGGGAAGCAGCAAATCTGTGGTCTTTATGAACTGGGACAAGATATGGGCCTTTAACAAGAAGGTAATTGATCCGATTGCTCCACGTTACACTGCCTTGGAGAAAGAAAAGCGCGTTATTGTTAATGTGGCCGGCGCCAAGGTAGAAAAGATCCAGGTATCCGTGCATCCCAAGGATGAATCACTGGGCAAGAAGACAGTCTTACTGGGTCCCCGTATTTACATCGACTACGTGGATGCCGAAGCACTGAAGGTTGGTGAAAACGCCACCTTCATTAACTGGGGCAACCTCCTTATCAATAAGGTGAATAAGGATGCATCTGGAACCATCACCTCTGTTGATGCTGCACTCAACTTGGACAACAAGGACTTTAAGAAGACCCTCAAGTTAACCTGGTTGGCTGTCGAAGATGATGCCAGTGCCTATCCACCCACATTCTGCGTTTACTTTGACAACATTATTAGTAAAGCGGTTTTGGGCAAGGACGAGGACTTTAAGCAGTTTATTGGGCACAAAACCCGTGATGAGGTTGCCATGCTCGGCGATCCAGAGCTGAAGAAATGCAAGAAGGGTGATATCATCCAGTTGCAGAGACGTGGTTTCTTCAAAGTAGACAACGCCTATGCTCACCCCAGCGGGTTCACGAGCGTACCATCGCCCATTGTGTTGTTCTCTATTCCGGACGGCCATACGAAGGATGTGCCCACCTCGGGCCTGAAAATCAATGCGCCGGATGCCAAGGCTACGGTGAGTTCTATTAAACCATTTATTTGTGATCAAATCAGAAATAATAAGCCCTTAAGGATAAATTGGGTTAAAATAAAATTTGTCAGCATAACTTTCCTTACAGACATCCGATTTCAAAACGACACACACTTCTAAATGATTGTGGGCTGATTATATATCTACGTTAAAATCTAGGTTTTTATTTTTGGGACGATTTTTCATATTTTAATTTTTACAATGTAAATGACAATTCCAAATTTTGGAAATATGCCTTTGCAGAAAAGTGTCCAAAAACTGCACTTCTAAGCCCATAAGCCCATACTGCTAAATGATTGAGGTTAGTTCTCAAAAAATATGCGTTTAAAACTTAATTTGAAATTTGGGTTCAATTTCTGGTCATTTTTATAATTTTTCCAAAAATTACTTTATGAAAAGTGGCAAAAAACTCAATTTCTAATACCATAACTTTTTTTTTACAGAAGTCCGATTTCAAAGTGGCACACTTATGTAAATCTTTTTTATTTTTGCGTAGATTTATTGTAATTTGCTTGCACAAAGTATTTTAATGGCAGATTTCCAAACCTGTAAAGAGTATACATATATTCTTAATCAGCATTACCAGGCAGGTCGATCTAGAGTATACATATATTCTTAATCAGCATTACCAGGCAGGTCGATCTAGCCATATCTTGCCGAAGTTTGCTTTCCTGTATTTTTTATTGTTTAATAAAAATATAAAAGGGTATACAAATTCCGACTTGGCAGTACTTCTTATCGATTACTCCATATGTACATAAACAGCTGTTTGGATCTCCACAAGCTTCTCACTCTCTTCCACTGTGAGCCCTGTAGCTCTTCCACGTACTCTTAATTTTGTGCCGCGTTGGTTCGCCGAAGTCTTCTTCTTCGGCTAAAACTAGTTGTATGCTGAACCACGAAGCGTGTGGATCGTTATCGTCTACCTCTGTTTCACCAGTAAGACAACAAATTAAAGAGAGGGGCTCGCTGATTTATGCATGTCGCCCTTGCTGACGTTGCACAAATGTTTTTTAAAAAAATAAGAAGACTTGCACCTGTTTAGCTCTTAAAAATATTAATAAAAATTTTATTTATTATAGAAAAAGGCATCCTCACCTGCGAAATCCTCGAACCAAGCTTCTGAATTGGACAGTCAAATTACACAGCAAGGCGATTTAGTGCGTGATCTTAAATCCAAGAAAGCAGCCAAGGATCAAATCGATGCTGCAGTAAAAAAGCTGCTTGCCCTGAAGGCGGATTACAAGACAGCAACTGGAAAAGATTGGAAACCAGGACAAGCGCCTGCACCTACTGCTTCCGCCGCTTCTTCTTCCACTGCCAACGACGCCGTTTTGATTAATGCCAGCATTGCGAAGCAGGGCGATTTGGTTAGAGATTTGAAGGGAAAGAAGGCTGCCAAACCAGAGATCGACGCTGCTGTGAAAACGCTTCTGGAACTGAAGGCTCAGTACAAATCTCTCACCGGTCAAGATTGGAAACCGGGCACTGTACCTCAACCTGCTGCTCCAGTGGCATCTCCTGCCCCTTCTGCTACTGCCAACGATTCGGTGGCCCAGATTTTAAGCCAAATAACTGCCCAGGGAGACAAAGTGCGTGAGCTGAAGTCAGCTAAAGCCGATAAGCCCACCGTTGATGCCGCAGTGAAGAAGCTGCTCAGCTTAAAGGCAGACTACAAAACAGCTACCGGAAGTGACTGGAAGCCAGGCACCACAGCTCCAGCGCCAGCAGCAGCTACAGTGAAAGTCAAGCAGGAGAAGAATCCGGAA